GGGGGGAGATCATCTGTTGCATGCTAGCTTAGGACTACCTTACTGTTGGGGGGGGGGCGGGTTGCATGAGACAAGCGGACTGCTACTTCAGTAGCATATTTCACTAGCGCATCTGTATTGCGCGCTGCTAGTTTTGCTCTAAATCAGTGCCGACAGTTGTCGAAGGGGGGGTAAAGAACATTTGGTAGGCAGGGCACTTGATTCTGTTGACAAGGTAGGGCACTCTCCTTGGATAACAGTAGGAGAAATACGGTACAGGCTTTAGGTCTGATTTTTACACTACTTTATTAGTATTACATTGTTTTATTGTTTTTGTTCTTTTATCCTATTAGTTGCTTTTATTTTTTTTTCTGATTCTGTTTTTGTCCCCCATTGCAAAGCAAAGAAGGTGAATGAGAAATACCCTTCATTTGTGCATACTGTGAGCAGGATAATTTGAAAAATAAGTGACATACTGACTTCCATTTTGGTGTGTCTACATCTAGGCTCAAGAAACATCACTATCAAAAACTGGGTTGCCAAGTCAAAATCTAAAATGATTATATTGGTTAAAAGTATGGTTTTCTCAAATGATTGTGGTGGCCCTTGAGGTGGCCATAGATTAATCTATGGTGGACAAGACCACCACTGGTCACTCCCTGGCTCTAGAACTGCACCTGGTAGTGGATAAATATGCTCCCTCTACTCTCAAGGATCCATCACTCTGATCTGCCTTGGATAAGAAGAAGAAATAAAAACCAACTTCCCTCTGCTCTTCTACACAGTTTAACTCCTACCCACTTGAATATATAGTACCAAAAATATTAAGGTTTACTTGTATTCACTGTTCACTTTAATCCAGAAAAGCACTCATCTCAAAAACTATAAACATTCACTACTCAAATACCTCAGCAACGGGGGACATTGGTACACTGCTTGTTACTGTATTATCATCATTGGCATCAGAAGCATTTGTAATGTAGGGGGACACAATGGTGTGTGTGTGTGTGTGTGTGTGTGTGTGTGTGTGTGTGTGTGTGTGTGTGTGTGTGTGTGTGTGTGTGTGCGTGCGTGCGTGTGTGTGTGTGTGTGTGTGTGTGTGTGGTGGAGGTGGGGGGGTCTGGGAGTCCTCCCTAGAATTTTTTTTAATTCAATTCAATTCATCCATCCATCCATTTTCTTTACCCGCTTGTTCCATTTTGGGTCACGGGAGTCGCCGGTGCTCATGTCCAGCAATCACTGTGCGAGGGGCGGGGTACACCCTGGACGGGTCGCAAGTCCATCACAGGGCCACATAGAGACAAACAAGACAAACAACCATTCAGTCTCTCACTCACACCTAGGGACAATTTAGAGTTACCAGTCAGCCTAACATGCATGTTTTTGGTCTGTGGGAGGAAACCGGAGTACCCGGAGAAAACCCACGCATGCACGGGGAGAACATGCAAACTCCACCCAGAAAGGTCCCCGGACCGGGGTTTGAACCAAGGACCTGCTCGCTGAGAGGCAGCAGCTCTACCAGTTGTGCCACCGTGCTGCCAATTCAGTTTATTTATATAGTGCCAAATCACAACAAAGTTGTCTCAGGGCACTTTACAGGAACATTCACATACATAAAAGCCAATTGGTAAACTTTTCTATCTAAGGAAGTAATTAAGTTAATAAAGTTGATGCCATATCCTGCATTCTGGTGTATTTTAATGGGTTGTTAAACATATACGTTTACCTACATAAGAAAGCAAAAGCATAAGTGGGCAAGACACTGAACCCCTCATTGCCTCCGATGTGTGTCCCATCGGTGTTTGAATGTGATAAAGCACTGATTAGTCTCTTTAGATTGATTTGTTCCATTAGCTTTGTAGAGATGTAGTAGAGTGCTATATGAATGGGTAAATGAGGACACAGATTGTAGTGGAAAGTGCTTTGAGTATCTTGATCAGATAGAAAGGTGCTATATACTGTAAGTACAGTCCATTTACCATTTAAATTCTTGATTGAATAACTATTTTAGAGAACATGGCACAACAAGAAGAGGTCTGACCAACAGCTCTCCTTGTGTGAATAAACACACTCCGCTTCTCTCACGCATCCTAGCCCCTACCCAACCCCGCGTCAAAAACTGCCAGAACGAATGTAGCATTAAGCTAGCGACAAGCAATACAGATTAGAGGATGACATTTTTTCGGGAGTATCGCCGGTCACGTGATTCCGGCCAGATTCCGGCGGGACTGGAGTCAACCTCATTATAACTCACGTGGCCGGGACATGACCAGACTGAAAGCTAACGGGAGCAGACAGGAGCGGGAACTGACCAATAACCAAAAAGGAAAATGAAAAAAAAAAAAAAAACACGGGCGCAGCTATTTTGTAGTTTTCTTTCAGTAAGCCTTCACTTTAACACAAGTCAAAAGAACTACATTTCCCAGGAGTCAACTGTTGAAGCCGTAGCTTTTCACTGAGAGGGGGAGGAGCAGCGAGCGAAGCGCCGAGTAACTGAAAATTGTTTGCAATACAAGGTAAAAAGTAACTGTCTGTCTATTAAACTCACAGAACAGGCAGGAAAGTGTCAAATAAACCTGAACTTCATAAGAGTTGTGTTGGTGCTGAGCTGCTTTAAACTTTAGTCTCAGCTGTGAGGAGCTGCTTTGTTTACCGTCAGTAAATGAACAGACTTAAACAGTGCATTTTTCTCCACCTTGTCCCTTTTAATTAAAAAATTATGCTCTGCTTTGTTATGTGGGTTTTTAGGTTAAAATCTTCATTATCTGTTGCTATTTGTAATGTAAAAAAAAAAAAACCCGAACTCTTCCTGGTTAAAGTGCACGCATTCTCCGGTAAAAATATCCCAGATTTTATATGAAAGGCTGGTTACATATACATTATAATAACTGTTATTGTAGGGGGGACATATTGGTGTGAGGTCTGTGGGTCCTCCTCCATAACTTTTTTAATAAAGTAGCTGCTATTTCTTGCATTCTGGTGTATTTTAACAGGTTTTAAAACATCTATGTTTACCTACATAAGTAAATCCTTTATTCAATAACTGTTTTATAAAGCATGGCACAAGAAGTAGCACTAAGCTTTTTGTTTGTCTTTAATTTAATTTAATTTTTCTACCTAACACAGGAAGCTGTTAGCTCTGGAAGCAAGCTGTTAAACAGCTTTGGACACAAAGATCCTTGTCACACACTTCAAAAGAGCAGGTAAGATACATATAATCTTGTAATCTCTGCCTGGTGAGGCTGCTTAAATAATTATAAAATATGATAAGTGAAATAAATAAAGAAAAATTGAGCTTCTGTAATTTATAATTGCAAATGTCACATTTTCTTAACTTAATTTCAATCGTAAATCTCTTGTTTTTGATAAAATATTTTTTTTCCAAAAGAAAGGGCAACAAATTGTAGTTTGTAATCACTGTAACCCTATTTTGACTCGTGCACTGTCGTCTTTCACTTTTAGGTTACACAAGGCTCTGGACTGGTCCAGCTGTGGAGAGATGAGGTGGAACACCAGACCTGCAATGCTCCAGTCTGTAAATGATGCTTTGAAGTCTGGGAAGATGCACGATATCCTGCTTCGCCCAAACAAGCTCGTTACCTCGACCACATAGACTGAACTTCTTGAGGACGTCGTCCAATGTATAATAATGCCTTTAAACATTTTTATTTGTTGAGTTCTCTGCTTGGTACATTATTTTTCTTTTTTTGTTTTTGTTTGTTTGTTTAAACAATTTAAAACATGACAGTAATGTCACTGTTTAAAGGAAACAATTGCTCAATAAATTAGTAAAATGCAACTTGTTATGTTTGTGTTCTTTCATCTAAGGTAGACATGGTGGGACACATGTACTGGTTTTGATTTTTGTTTTTACTGTAACTGACTTTCAAAAGAGCTAGAAACAGGGACTCAGCAGCTGATCCTCCGTAGAAAAATTATATGGACTGCAGGCCATGGATTATTTGTTTTATGATATTTAGTGAAGGTTTTTGTTTGGATTAAGTAAATAAATGTCTCTATTTCACCACAGATGAACTGTTCCTGTTGCCATATCATTTGAAATAAAACTGCACAACACAAAGTAATTTAAACAGGAATGGGTAGAAGATCAGATCAAATCAAATTCAATGTATTTCCTAAAAATTAAATGAAAAACAGGAGCAGGACAGGAGTGGGAGTGATTCTGAACAGGAGCAGGACAGGAACAGGAATCGTGTTACCAGGAGTGGGACAGGACAGGATTAATTTTTTTTTACTCTGGACCAGGATTGGGACAGGACAGGATTTTTTCTGTGGGACCAGGACAAGACAGGAGTGAAAATCCACTCCTGTGTCATCCTCTAATACAGATGTGTTAGCTAAGATGCTACAGACGTAGCGCTCTGCTTGTCTCACACATCCTAATCCCCACCCCCGTCAACAACGGCCAGCACTAACGTGGCGCTAAACTAGCACATAAAACGTTGGTTACGTACTGTAACTCCAGATTCTATGAGTATAGATGTAGCCCTTTAAGCTTAAAGGGCTACATCTATACTCATAGAATCTGGAGTTACAGTACGTAACCAACGTTGTAGGTAACCAGGAAAACCCAGAGTGGATTTAATTGGTTTCTGTATTCTCCTATTAATCAAGTGGAATGAATTAGTTCGCAAAGAAATACAGTAGAAACAGCGCTGGGTGAATTACTGTTTCATGGTAAATGTGGGGGGTTCAAATAAAAAAAAAAAAATTAATATGGGGAGACACATGTCCCCTTCACATATAGTTGTTGCAACGCCTATGATTAGCAACAAGCACTTTGTAACTTTGGTTTTGAAAGGTGCTATGTAATAAATTTGAACTCATTTTGACCAATTCATACTTGTTCTTTTCTTTGTAAGTAGGAGTCTGACTTACAGTACATACACCTTAAACTTTAAACTTGACTTCTGAGTTGTATCAGTTAACTCTTACACTCCGTTACTCATATACATGACTTCTTCATTGAACTTCTGTCTCTAACAATCCAGCCTTACTCTAGTTAATCACATTTGTTTTCTTTAAAGCAGAGCATGAGCATTCATTATATAGGTGAACATGGAAATACTGTATCTTAGTGTTTTGTAAAGTGAAATGGTGGGCGGTTTTTCAAAGAACAGTGATCTTTAATTACATTTGAATAATAAAGCTGTGAAGAAATGATGAAACATAAATTTTCTGTCTCGGTCAGTGGTGGTTGTGCTAGTACCTCTTACAGTGAGCTGTCCATGATGCAGCCCATCCACAATGATGATTCGAACAGCTTTCATGTTGTCGTTATCAACAATTTGGAGCTGGTCCCATGTTATTGGACGAGACTGACCCTCTAGGAGGCTCAGACCTGCACATTAAAAGGCGGTTAGGAAACGTGCACATATAAAGATTTTCTGTATTTTGTAAAACCATGGCTTGTTCTGGATTAAATAAAAAATGATTGAGCGCCAAATTTTAAAATGTTATGACATCTTTACATTAGGCCAGATTAATTTGTGTGTGTGTGCGTGCGCGCGCGCATGCATGTGTGTTTGTGTGTGTTTTAGCAAAACATCCATCCATCCATTATCTTTTACCCGATTCTTCCATTTTGGGTCACGGGGGTCGCCAGTGCCCATGTCCAGCAATCACTGTGCGAGAGGCGGGGTACACCCTGGACAAGTAGCAAGTCCATCACAGGGACACATAGAGACAAACGAGACAAACATTCACTCTCTCACTCACACCTAGGGACAATTTAGAGTTACCAATCAGTCTAGCATGCATGTTTTTGGTCTGTGGAAGGAAACTGGAGTACCCGGAGAAAACCCTCACATGCACGGAGAGAACATGCAAACTCCACCCAGAAAGGCCCCTGGACCGGGATTTGAACTGGGGACCTGCTCGCTGAGAGGCAGCAGCTCTACCAGTTGCGCCACCATGCTGTCCGTGTTTTAGCAAAACATCTCTTGAACAATTAGACAATTTCTATTAAAACGGTTTAAAAGCAATCAGTGGATATGTTTGACTTAACAGCTTTTGAAATCAACCCAAGTTAAGATGGCTGCCACCAGCCAATTGATCTTAATACACCCCCAAAATGTGTATTACTGAGTCCATTTTACAACTATTTAACTAAAATTGGGCTAAAATTTAAAATTTAACATTGTAGTAACTGTTATTAAGTCACAACACAAATTTTAGGTAGCCTAGGGGAACCTTTGGGCCTTCAGAGAAGACCTAAAAAATGAGTAAAAATAAAATGTTATATTAAAACTTTTTATATATTGTTTATTTTTTACTTTAAAATTTCAGTGCAGTTTTTCTTTTTTTTTCCTTTTTTCAAAAATTTCTAATTATTAATAATTAACTAATAATAGTAATCTAGTCATTGGAAGCCATGTAAGCTCCCTGAATATTATGTCACATGCTTGAAGTTATTCGAACGTACTGTAAAATGTTATTTGTTCATCTTTCCATCTCACAGATTTTTTTTTTCTCCTTTTGTAAAAGATACAGACAGTAAACTGTTCAAAGTATTTTTACAAAGTCTTGTGCTCAATGCTAAAATGGAGATGGATGGGTATGTCTGAGTTTTAAAAAATTGTAAACGTAATACAGCCAAACTAATAAGTCAGTGAAGCTCTGTGTGTGATTATATGTATTTTTTAACAGTATAAATTTATTCTTAATTCTAAAAAGCCATATAATCAATCAACATGAGCGAGCTGACTTACCCATGTTCCAGGAGACTCTTGGTGCATTTGTGTCTGCATTTCTTACAGAAGTGTGAACGGTCATTGATGGACTCCTCGCAAAGAAAAAATCATAAACCTCAAATTCCACCTGTTGGGAAAATACAGTTTTAAATATACTGGTGATATCACAAATTGAATAGTTAAAATATGGAGGAAAAAAGTTCACTAAAGAGATAGACTACCTCATAATTACTACGTTGAGTGTGTGAAGAATTTGGAGGTTGGTACCCAATGAGCATGTCATTGAGATCAAGCCATGTGAAGGAGAAAACTGGACGTGTGTGGTCAGAAAGATGGGTAATAAAGCCTTCCTTGGGGGGGTTGGTGATGTTAAAAACAAGAAGCTGTTTGGGAGTTTCCTCGTCTTCAGCATCCAGTGTAGCCGTGGAAAGTGGAGTGAGGATGAATTGATCTACTTCCAGGATAAACATGGACATGAAGGATGGTTTGGGGGGCTGGTTGGGCATTCCACCGCCAATCCTCACAGGAATCCAAGCCTGCTCGGACTAAAAAAAAATTCAGAATGAATGAAAAGTTTATAGAGTTACATAAAGTCTCAAAATCAGACCTAAAGCAAGTCAAAAGACTCAGTAATCCATCTATCCATCCATCCATCCATCCATTATCTTTTACCTGCTTCTTCCTTTTCGGGTTGTGGGGGTCACTGGTGCCCATATCCAGCAGTCACTGTGTGAGAGGTGGGGGACACCCTGGACAGGTCTCCAGTCCATCACAGGGACACATAGAGACAAATGAGACAAACAACCATTCACTCTCTCACTCACACCTAGGGACAATTTAAAGTTGCCAATCAGCCTAACATGCATGTTTATGGTATGTGGGAGGAAACTGGAGTACTTGGAGAAAACACACGCATGCACAAAGAGAACATGCAAACTCCACGCAGAAAGGTCCAAGGCCAGGATTTGTACTGGCGACCTTGTCACTGAGAGTCAACAGCTCTACCAAATGAGTCACCATGCCACCCTGACTCATTAAGATATAAGAACTAGAAAGTTCTAGGAGTAACTTTTATCTGGATTGCCATGTTAAGGCCATTTTCAAATTTGATTTGACTGTACTACATGTTGGAGTTCGCTCTAAGCTACCTCCAGACAAAATTTCAGCTCAATGTAAATGGAATGGTAAATGGACTCTACTTACTGTATATACCAACTTTCTATCTTATCAAGATACTCAAAGCTCTTTACAACACAATCTGTTCTCTCATTTACCCATTCATACAGCACTCTACCATACTTATACAAAGACTAATCAGTGCTTTATCACATGCATACACTGATGGGACACACATCAGATGTAATGAGGGGTTCAGTGTCTTGCCCATGGACACCTCAGCATGTGACTACTGGTGGAATCAAACCCCCAACTTCCCCATTGGAGGATGACTGCTCTAAACACTCAGCAAAACTGTGGTTCAGCCCAATATGTGTAGTAAGTTGTCTTCCATATTATTTGCCAAGAAAGTTCACCAGTGTTATTTTGGCAACCGTTTGCATTCCACTCTATGCTATTGCCAAGACTGCTTGTGATGTCATCAGCTCAGTGGTTGCTAAGCTACAGACACAATAACGTAGTGCGTTTGTGGCAATATTGGGTGATTTTAATCATGTCTCACTCTTTGCTACACTTCCGACATTCTAACAGTTTGTCAGCTGCTCTACCAGATAAAACAAAATGCTGGACTTGTTCTATGCAACTGTCAAGGATTCATACATCATTAAAGCAAGACCGCCTCTTGACAAATTGGATCACAATCTAGTGTTTCTCTGCTCAAACTATAAACCCCTTGTTCAGAGACAACCTGTAATAAAGAAAACAGTGAGACAATGGTCAATGGAAGTTGAAGAAGCCCTGTGGGGTTGTTTTGAGGCTACAGACTGAGATGCACTGTGCCAACCACATGGAGAGGACATCAATGCCATGACTGAGTGTGTGACCAACTATATAAACTTCTGTGTAAACAACACCATCCCCACCAGAACAGTGAGATGCTTCTCCAATAACAAACCCTGGATCACCACTGACCTGAAGGAATTGCTAAACCAGAAAAAAGAGCCTTCAGGGAGAGAAGCAGGGAATTATTGAGGAGTACACAGAAGCAACTAAAAGTCGAGACAGGAAACAGCAAGGAGGTGTATTAGAAGAAGCTGGAGAGCAAACTCAAGCAGAACAATATCAGAGAGTTGTGGTCAGGGATGAAAAAGATCACAAGCTTCAAGCAGAAGGAGGATCAGAAGGATGGAAGCCTGGACAGAGCCAATGAACTGAACACGTTCTTCAATAGGTTCAGTTCAGGAACAAGCTCAGCATCCTCCTCTCTTGCCCACAGCCAAACATACATACCACCCTCCTTTGACCCAAGGCTGTCCTGTCACACCTTAAATATTTTATTCACCACCTCATTCATGGACCCTTCTTCTTCTACATGTTGGTCTTCAATCAAATCAGAAGATGCTGATACCTCCTTTGCCTCCCCCCTCTGCGTCTCTAGAAGTCAGGGGAGGAAGCAGCTGGAAAGACTGAACCGAAATAAAGCTGCAGGTCTAGATGGTGTCAGTCCCAGAGTCCCGAAGGTCTGTGCAGAGCAGCTCTGTGGGGTTCTGCAGCACCTCTTCAACCTTAGCCTGACACAGGAGAAGGTTCCAGTGTAGTGGAAAACCTCCTGCCTTGTTCCAGTATCCAAGAAAACTCACCCATCAGTCCTCAATGACTATAGACCTGTTGCCCTGACATCCCATATCATGAAGGTCCTAATGTAGAGATGGTACTTTTCTGTGGCCCGGTTTGTGTCTGTGTTCCCTCGTGCTCCCTCATTAGTTCCATTGTTGCCACCCATGTCTCGTCCCAGCTGTTTGTTATCACGTCTCGTCTCTGTATATAAGCCGTCTGTTCTGTCTTGTTCGTTGTCGCGTCGTATTCATTGGGTCTCCTGTGTCTTCCCCTGAGTCTTCCTGGTTCCTCGAGTCCCCTGAGTCCTCCTGAGTTTCCCGTGCCTCCTTCCTATGTTCATGTAAGTTTTGCTGCCCCGTCAGCTTGTTATTTTGTACTTTCATTTATCATTAAATTCCTATTTTTGTATTTCTGCCGAGTTGAGTCCCTGTTCTGCACTCTGGGTTCGCTCCTGACCACAAATCCTAACATTATGACGCGACCAGACTAGAACCCAGCGGGCAGGGTCTCTCTCGGCAACACTCACCTTTTTTCTTTTTTCCTCCTCGAGCCAAGATGGACGAGCTCCACTCCGTCCCTGTCCTTCCGCCGTCCCACTGCCGCCGTAGTGGCAGAAGACTGTTCCGGAGGCAGTCTGCGGCGACCGGCCCGGTCTCGTCGGCCGAGCAGAACTTTAGAGCTGGTTCCGGTGTTTCTGTGGGAGCGGGGTCCACCGCCTCACCTTCCAGGTTTCCAGTGGGAGTGAGATCCAGCGTCCCGTGGGAGCTCCGGTCCACTCCTGTTCGGTTCGGTGAGTCCGGTCCAGTTGACGTTACAGGGGCGGGTTCCGTCGCCTCACCTTCCAGGTTCCTGGTGGGGGCGGAATCCGGCCTCTCACCGCCACTCCGCGCTGCGGCTGTTCGACCCAGCCTGGCCGTACCTCCGGAGCTTATTCCTAGTGACTCCGTGGGGGCGTGTTCCACCACCTCACCTTCCAGGTTTCCGGTGGGGGCGGCACCCGTCACCACACCTACACATAAAGACATTCCCTTTTTTCACTCCTTTTTACCTGAGGAGATTTTTCAAGTTAATCAGACCCTTTTTGATTTTTCTCCCCAGGTCGCCTCGTCTCCTGCTGCACACTCCAAGGTCCCCTCGTCTCCTGCTGCACACTCCAAGGTCCCCTCGTCTCCTGCTGCAACCTCCAAGTTCCCCTCGTCTCCTGCTGCAACCTCCAAGTTCCCCTCGTCTCCTGCTGCAACCTCCAAGTTCCCCTCGTCTCCTGCTGCAACCTCCAAGTTCCCCTTGTCACCTGCTGCAACCTCCAAGTTCCCCTCGTCGCCTGCTACAACCTCCAAGTTCCCCTCGTCGCCTGCTGCAACCTCCAAGTTCCCCTCGTCGCCTGCTGCAACCTCCAAGTTTCCCTCGTCGCCTGCTGCAGCTCTCCAGGCTTCCACGCAGTCTGCTGCAGCTCTCCAGGCTTCCACGCCGTCTGCTGCAGCTCTCCAGGCTTCCACGCCGTCTGCTGCAGCTCTCCAGGCTTCCACGCCGTCTGCTGCAGCTCTCCAGGCT